TCCCAGATCTCGCCTCTCTCACTTTATACAAAACGCAAATGTATAAAATGCGTGAAAATTGTATATATACATATATTTTTGTTCCCCTCTCCCAGATCTCGCTCGCCACTTTCCCTGATCTCGCTCTCTCACTCGCCTCTCTCAGTTTATACAAAAAAGCAAATGTATAAAATGCGTGAAAATTGTATATATACATATATTTTCGTTCCCCTCTCTCCCCTCTCCAGATCTCGCTCGCCACTCTCCCAAATCTCGCTCGCTCACTCGCCTCTCTCACTTTATACAATTGATCTTTTTGTATGCATACCAACGCAGATTATACAACTGTTTTCTTTTGTATATTTATAGCGAAATATACATATTTATGTTTTCTATGGAGCGCAATTATGCAAACTTTGCTATAGCATACAAATATGAATTTTGTGTTTGCTATATGTGAAAGTAGCTCTTAATAATTTACTTTGTTTGGTTTAGTTTCGAATTTAGAAAAATAAAAATTGAAAAGCTTAAAAACCAATATATATTACTTATTTTCCAAATTATAAATATAACTTTGACATAACCCAATAACCAAATCGAAAAAATCGAACTCAATAGAGGAAAATCAAATCAAACCAGATTTATTTTGGTATGGATTGGATTACAATTTTTTAAAATCAAAAGTCAAAAAATTCAAATCGAATAATCGAATGCACACCATTAGTTTTTGTCATAATTTCTCTCTACTTAGTATTAATTAAATTTGTGAGAAAATACATATCTATAAAGAGAAACATTTAGAGGCATAATTAACCATACTTTTCACTATTGTCTTTGTGAAATCATAAATATAACTTTGTAATTAGTGCATATTATCTTTAGAAAATATCAAAGTTCACCGAAGGAAATGACAAATACGAAAAACTTTCTAATTAATCTATCTTGAACTTTTAATAGTTCAATTTTTTATAACAATAAAAAAAGAAAAATCCTTTTGGCCAGAAAATTTGGTCAGAATTTGGCCAGAATGATATTTTACCTTTTTGAACATTTTTTACCCTTTTAACTTTAATAACTTTTTAACTAAAAATATAGAAAAAAGATTAGTATATTTTAAAATAAATATTGTTTTATAAATTTTTTATACTTCTGGCCAAATTTTGACCAAATTTTCTGGCCATTTAGTATTACCCATTTTAGAATAACAATAATTATAACTGAGCCTAGTCCCCAATTTTTCTGAAATTAGTGTATTATTTTTTTAAATATAAAAAATATATACATTTGATGGTATAAAATAGGATATACTAAAATTAAATTTATATTGTATTTGATTGAATTATATTCTTTCTATTTTTTTTATTTGTTATTTGACTTGGCATGGTCATTTTTTTTTTTGGTACATGTATTTTATCATATTATATCAATTAATTAATATTTAATATTGAGTCTTGAAAAATGATGTAGAGAACTGTATTTAATGCTAAAAATAAAACATGATTTTTTAAAATCTATATATCAAAATTGACAATTAAAAATAAAAATTTATTTTAGAAATAAGTAATAAATAAAAGTGAAAGAAGGAATTTCATAAGACAAATTGTAAATTTAATCTTTAAATTAATTATGATATCCACCTTTTTTGGCTTATCCATTCCATTCCATTAACCAAAGTAGCCCTTATTTATTTAAGAGGACACGTGGCTGATAATTGCTGAACCAATGTTTACTGCAGCGGATCGAGATCCGCAAAGTTGACTCATGCATTTACTGGATGGCTCATTGTTGTTATTAGTTCCAAATTGCCACAAGATCTCACATTTTCACCGATAGCCAGTCCAGAGTCCAACTTTACCCATGGCTTCCCAATTTCGATCTGTCAATAAATGGAAATATGATGTTTTCCTGAATTTTCTACGGGAAGACTTCAACGAAAACTTTGTTACCGATCTTTATGAACGTCTGGAAGACATAGGAATCAAGACATTCAAACACGATGACAGATCTGCAAGAGGAGTGCCAATTTCGACAGAAATCTCAGGAGCTATCGAGGAATCAAGGATTGCCATTACAATCTTTTCCGGGAAGTATGCATTATCCAGACGGTGCTTGGAAGAAAGCACTAAGATCATGGAGTGCGTTGACAGCCACGGACAGGAATTCTTCCCGGACTATCGCACAGAGCCATCAGTAGTATCACTCGAGTTTGATTACGGAAATTACGACGACGCTCTCTCTAAAGCATCCGACATTGCGGGATTTAATAAGTATTATTATTATTATGGTTTCGAACCTATCTGTTGGTGAGTAGTAACTCAAAAGAACTAACCCACTCTGATTTAATTTTTTGGGATATTCTCTATTTCTCTGCTTTATATATTTTTTGACAAAACATAAACGATATTTTCGACGGCCTCTGAGTGGTGGCTTAAGACAAAAAAATAGGTAGTAAGTGGGAATTTATCTTACTGTGCGGTGAGCTGGAGGAAACTTCATAATGGTACAATAAAATGCAACACGGATGGACGGATGGAGCTAGTAGAGGGAATCCTGGAGAAAGTGCCTATGCATTTTGCTTAAGGAACGACAAAGGAGATATTGTATATGCGGAGGCGGGGCAATTGGGAAATAGAACGAACATGGAGGCAGAAACATTAGCAGTCTTTAAAGCACTAAGACATTGCAAGAGATATAATTTCAGTAATTACATTCTAGAGACAGATTCTCTAAGCATTACAAATATAATTCGAGGTAATTGGAAGGTACCATGGCAGCAGGCAGAGGAAATACTGGAAATAATAGAGTTAATTAGCTCTACACAGGCAAAGATTCAACATGTGTTTCGGGAAGCTAATAAACTAGCAGATAAATTGGCAAATGAAGCATTTGAGCAAACGAATGCAATACAAATACATGCTTTCCAACAGTTATCAGTGGAATGTAGAGGAATTGTGAACATGGATAAAGCAGAAATTCCATCACTACGGATTAAAACAAGGAAGATAACAGTACAAGCAACACATCAGGGGAGGATCAGAGAGATTAACAAGGAACACAGTTATGCTATGTACATCAAATTTTTCCACTGTACAGGCATACATAACTGTGAAGAAAACAATAGTCCTAGCTATGTCAGCTTACAAAAAGTTCCACCAGCAAAAACGAAGTCGGTCAAATCAGATACGGAGAGGTTGTCTTGGAATCTCTATGTCCGTCTCAAATCAGTGTGGAGTAAGGCAAAAATGGAAAAGTATGGAGATGTGCTTACATTTTCCAAGCAATAGCTCAGGACTTGGCATCAGATCCACTGCACCACCGAAGTTTACCACTACAAAGGAAGCCGAGGTCAGGAAGGAAGAGTGATTGGCATTACAACACATAAATGGAGAGGAGGGAAGACTTACTGCTACGAGCTTCGAATTATCAGAGTGAAGGAGGTCAGGAGATGCATAAATAATTCACAACTTGAGGACATTTTGTTCCTCAAAGCTACTGTGATGAACATTTTCAAGTAAGAGGCGGAGGAGACAGAGGATGCAAATGGAAATCTTACTCTCTTTTATAGTATGCCATTTCCATTTGAATTGGCCCACATTTTTTCATGTTTTTGTTTCATTCCTTTGGGCCTATTTTACGGGTCTATATTTGTAATTTTTTGGGTTTATTGAAATAAAGGAGCTAACAGCTCCACCAATATTAATTAATAAATAAATAAATAAAATAAAAAATCTTAGTGATGTTTGGATCGACTTTGTTTAAGTGAGTTTTAGCTTTTGAATATTTTATTTGTTTGTTTTGGAAGAACAAAAAAAGTGTTCTGGAATGTTTTTTTAAAGCTACAGAAGTAAAAAAAAAAGAGTCAAAAGTTGGGTTTCCTATTTATGATTTTTTGAAACTTATAAGTCACTTTTAAAAAACTCAACTCATGATTAAACCAAGTGCATCATTGAACTTTTTGGGTTACATATTGTTATATTAAGAAAATATTTAACATATATTTTTTCATTTAAACACTTATAATACAATTTTAATATTACAGTGAATAATTTATAAAACACATATAATATAAGTTTTATTAATGGATAATATAACTATTACATATTTTTATACATTTATAATATATTGTGTCAGTTTCTTACCAAACAAGTATAATATATATTAAAACAGATATAATACATCTATATTACATGCATAATTCACTTTTAATATATAATGCAGATTTAACATAGTATTGCTATGTATTATTATAAATGATAATAAATAAAAAATATCACTAAAATCAGTAATTATTTATTAAAACAGTTTTTTCTATACAAAGTATCTAATGTTATGGAAAGTTCATGAGTTTATTTGGGTCCTAAATCCACTCTTGAAAGGAGTTCGGACACCCTTGAAACCTTAGATTCTATTGTATCATATCATTACCTTAATATTTTCTTTTCATTTTATCTTTATTTATTATTTAATCCTACATTTCCATAGTAGCTATACCTTTACCCTACTTTTCTTAGAGGTTTATTATTGAAATTATGGTTGTGTGATATGTAACTATGAAAAACAAGACAATTTATCCAAATAATGTATTCATTGAAACAATAGATACAATCCAATACATTAGGAAACATAACTCTAATCCAAAAATCACTTTGCCTTGATCAAGTTTCAATGTCCGGCTGAGTGGTGTCAAGAGGTGGTAATTTGACCTTTTAATTTAAAAGTAGAAGGGATATCTTAAAATTCCCTCAATTTTGAGTCACAGACCTATTCAAATCAAATAAGTGCAAATTCTTAGTCTCAATATATATGCATTTAAAAGCACTTTCTGTGTTTATATAAATATATATTGTACACTCAACCATCCAAAAAACACTTAACCTATATAAATATTGTACGAGCTTTGCCTGGATGATTTCTTTTAGCTGCAGCTAAACTCTCAATACTTTGTAATTATATTGCTTGAACTCTTCAAGTGTATCAATGACTAGTGACTGAGTGTCGCATCCTCCAAAAATAGTGTATTTTTGAAGGTTTGACACCAGCAACTTAGCTCTGCAATTATTCTTTATTTGGGTCAAGTTGAGATCCTTTGTAATGTAATTTACCTGTGTTTGTTTGGTGAGGGTGGCATAGAGTGGACAACTTTCTAATTTCCAGCTAACAAATTTGACAAGTCCGTTGTCAATTTGAGGTGTTGTTTCTTGCAAACTTAGAGAAATTTTAATGTTGCATTTCTTGGGACGGGTAATGCTTTCTGCTTTCATCAATTATCACGTTTCAATATTTTATTGATATGATATGTTCTATTTGACACAGGAAAGCTGAAAAATGGATTGAGGAAATTGTTGATAAGTTTTCTCAGGTTATGAACATTGCAAAGTATCCTGTGGGAATCAGATCTCGTGTAGAGGAAGTAAAATCTTTGTTGAAAGTTGAATCTGGTGGTGTTCATTTTATAAGGATATGGGGGAATGCTGGAGTAGGAAAGACAACTGTTGCCAGAGCACTTTTTAATGAGATCTCTTGTCAATTTGAAGAGTCATAATTTCTTGCAAATGTCAGGAGAGTCTTAAAAAAGCATGGTCCGGGAGGCCTACGCCATTTGCAACAGAAGCTTTTTTCACAGATTCTGAAGAAACATCTGTGAGTTTAGCAAATTTTGCTAGAGGCGATGAACTTATAAGCCAAATGCTTTGTTTCAAGAAAGTTCTAATTGTTCTTGATGATATGGATTACAGTCTCCAATTGGAATATTTAGCAGGAAAACGTGATTGGTTTGGTGATGGCAGTAGGGTCATTACAACAACTAGAAGTTTTGATTTACTTGGCAAGCATGATGTGTTATATCGTGTCCCAGAACTGACTAACCATGAGGCTTTAGAAATTTTTAGTTGGCACGCCTTTCAACAAGGATCTCCGGTTAAAGACTTTGAAGAGCTCGCGTGTTGTGTAGTAGATTATGCTAAAGGCTTACCCTTAGCTCTGGAGGTGTTGGGTTCTTTTCTCTACAAACAAAGTAGGGAAAAGCAGATAAGTGCATTATATAGACTCCAAGATTTCAGAGATGGGAAAATTGTTAGGTTACTCATCATAAGTTTAGATGCATTGGGTGCCAAATACAAGAATATATTTCTTCATATTGCGTGCTTCTTTAGAGGAAAAAAGGAAAAAGATGTGATTACAGTATTAAATAGACTTGGCTTCAAGTTACATTATGAAATAGATGTCCTCAGAAGATCATTTTTATATATCTCAGAAGGAATGATTGAGATGCACGATTCGATAGCACAAATAGGTCAGCAAGTGGCACGTGATGCTGAGCAGGGCAAGCCATGGAACTGCAGTAGACTATGGCATGGAAAAGATATGAACACTGTTTTTTCTGCAAATCAGGTGCGTGGTCCTCTAATGGCTGAGAATTCTGGTAACATTCTTTTCCCTCTTGTGCATTATTTTGCCTTGAAAAAAGTAGATGCCAATTTGAATAGGTTATACAAACTAGTTAGGCTAAGGATTAGTCGTGCTGATACACTTACATTATTTATGGTATCTGCTAGGAGTCTTTTTAGCTTGTTCAGAGATTTGTATGTGAGTAGAAAAATGTAAAGACCCACCTTCGTTTTAAAAAAAAATATATTAGTCTTATATCAAAATTATTGAGTACTGAAATGAAACTAGTCCAAATTAAATAGAATAGATTTGAGGATTCATATGGCCGACCCCAAAATTAGTTAACGATTGGAACATAGTTAATGATGTTGTCGTCTACTTTGTTTCGCAGAGAGGGAAGGTTTGACATGCGAGCCTCTTCTGTCTTTCTGTTATTGTATAAATCATTGTTTTAAGTCAACCTTCCTTGAGATTCACTTTTCTTCTTTATCTTATTAATTCTTTTTGCTTCTGGGCTCTGCTCCCAAGTCTTTACCTCGACTTGCTTGTATATTTGCAGATTGCCAGAACCCATACATTTTCTGTGGCTCCCCAAAATGAAGCCAATCAAAAGTGGAAATATGATGCCTTTTTGAGTTTTAGAGGAGATGACACCCGCAATAACTTTGTTGCCCATCTTTATAAACGTCTCCAAGACATAGGAATCAACGTATTCAAAGATGATGTGAAACTTGAAAGAGGAAAGATCATTTCAACAGAACTCTTGAAAGCCATTGAGGAATCAAGAACTGCCATTATTATCTTCTCCGAGGACTATGCTTCATCCACCTGGTGCTTGGAGGAACTCACAATGATCATGGAGTGTGTTGACAAGAAGGAACAGAAAGCATATCCTGTCTTCTATAACGTCGAGCCATCAGATATACGCATGAAAAGTAAGTCATCAGAAATATTCGTTGAAAGTAACACTCCTCTAATAATATTATTTATTGTTCTGACTTATTATTTTTATCAAACTTAAATTCTCTTTCAAGATAACTTTTCTAATCATTATTTTAATATTTTCTCTTCTATAGCTAATGCATATGTAACTGAAATTAACATTTTAAGCTCTCTGTGAAGCTAAGAGCAGCAGCTTTGCTAAAGCGTTGGTAAAACACAGGGAAGATTTCAAGGCTAATTTTGAGAAGTTTGCAACCAAACATGAGGCAGATCTTGCTCTCAGGAAATAATATGAGACAAATCACAAGGATAATTTTTCGTTACCATTTTCAAAAAAAAAAATCACAAGGATAATTTGGAGAAGGTGCAGAGGTGGAAGGACGCTCTACATAGAGCTGCTGGAATAGCAGGACTGAATGTTCGTAAAACTGCTAATGGGTGAGTAGTAAATGATCCCTTGAGTTTTCACTTTAATTATTGGGACACCTTTTCATTTTTTTTGGGAAATGCTATGCGAAGTTCAATGGTTTTCTGTAGTCTTTGAAATAAACATGCTTTTAAGACTAGCATGTAAACTTTTGTAGGTTTTCTATCTTTTGATATAATTCTTGTTACGGATGCCTTTGCCCAAAAATTCAATAAAAATTACTACTTTATCAAAAGAGAACATCATGAAAACACTAGGGATCAGTTTATTATATAATTACTGATAAGTAACCAAAAACTCTGACTCTAATTGAGAGTATTTCAAGACCCCTCTTCTTCTTTTACTTATAAGAATGTCTCTATCTTCTACTTTAAAATGTCAAATTACCTTCTGAAAATACCATTCAATTGGATGTGCATTTAAAACTTTTGGGCTAAAATACACTTTAGATGAACTTGTTAACAGATTTTTTTGCCAGGGGTGGGTGGAGGGTGTAGAGAATAGCGGAAGAAAAGTATATTCGGAAAAACCTTCTGCTAGCCCAAGATCGTTAACTAAGATCGGAAGATTCAACTAAAGGAAAAGGAAGCTAGAAAGGAGAAAGAATATGAGAACTTTGTTATAGAAGAAGACTATTTGATTTGAGTTGTTCTTGGATTGCTTACAAATGCTTAATGCCACCCCTATTTATACTTGTATAGGGATGCTTCTAGAAATTATTCTAGATAGAACTACAAGAAAAATCTAGATTATTCTATACTTTACTATAAATATCTAATTATATTTCTATAATTTCCTATAAATATCTACTTCTCTAGAACATCTACACAATTCCTAGATACATCAAGTACTTAAGTTACAATTTACATAACTCTAGAAAGTTCTACTAAATATCTAGGATTATTTGTACCTCCAAAAATCATCTTTATTTTCACAGAGGGGGTAGGGGTGGAATTCAAGAGAGATGCAGAATCATGTGAACATGACATGATTTTGGTTACAGTATGCATCTATATTTTAGTTTTGAGTGACAAACTTCAATTCTGTGTTTTGCATGTCATTTAGGCTCACGAAATGTGTACTCTGTTTAAATCTGTCAACATCCATGTACGACTGTGAGAGTAATCAAGTGAAATTACTTCCAGTGAAACTTAATGCTTTCTTCTCTGGGTCCCAAAGTTGTTAGCTGCTAATAGAGTAGTAAAACGTAGATTGCAATACAAAACCTCATTAACAGGAGTAATTAATATTGCATGGCCAATAATATATACTCTTTCGTCTTACATAGATAACCCCTTAAACTTGTCAGCGATGGTCATGTAGACACTTCAATTATTTTAGTGACCATAGACACCTTTTGTTGGCATAAGTGTGTCTTTTGAACCCCTTGATATGACCTGGCAACACACGTGCAATTCAATTGCTTTTGAGCACGTTATTTATTGTCCATGTCCAAATGCTAAAAGATCAAATTTCCTAATTTACCCTTAATTGCTAAAATAACATTCATTCGATGTGGTTTGTTTGATTGCCTTTTGTCACGCCCCGAGCCTACACCCTGGGCGGGACTGGCACCCGGAGGCCATTACTGGCCCCAAGCGAACCCTTGGTCTGGCTTTCTTAACTCAGCGGAAACCTAACTCAACAGAATAACTCAATGCCATGCAAAGACATAAAACAACTTAACTTATAAAATCTGGCCCAAAAGGGCAACTCGAGTCTCAAAATAGAATATTTACATAGATACATAG